GCTAATTATAATCTAGTTGTCAATTTTTTGTTCTATTGATAAAAATTTTATTCTATTCTAAATTCTATTGCTCTATTTTATTGCTCTATTGTTCTATTTATTTATTGCTGACAACACTGACTAAAACTAATACACTATGAAAAAAAATTGTATATATACTATAAATAAAATTCAAACATTTAAGATCTTTAGAACTTTCAACATTACTAAAAATGAATAGGAGATAGAAGAAAGTATTAGTATGATATAATCTGAACTTAATTAATAGTGAAGTTTGTATTATATAATTTGTACACTAGCTCACAAGCTTTTCAAGGCCAATTCTAAATCTAGTCAAGCCTAATCGAGCCAGCTTGATTCAGAACACTATTAAAAAGACATTAAAATAAATAGTGTTTATGTAAACCAAATTTGGGTTTATTTGAATCCAAGACAGGTTTAAGACAAGTTTATTTAAACCCAAGATAGGTCTATTTGAACCCAAGATGAGTCTAGTTGAACCCAAAATAGGTTTTAATAGACCCAAAATGGGTTCAAATAGACCCAAGATAAGTTCAAATAAGCCCAAGATGGGTTCAAATAGACCCAAGATGGGTTTAAATAAACCCAAGATGGTTCAAATAGACCCAAGGTGTTCAAATAAATTCAAGACAGTTCATATGGACCTAAGGCAGGTTCATTTGAACCCAAGACAGGTTCATTTGAACCCAAGATGAGTTCATTTTGAACCCAAGACAAGTTCATTTAAACCCAAGACAGATTTATTTTGAACCCAAAACAGGTTCAAATAGACCCAAGACAGTTTATATGGACCCAAGACAGGTTCATTTGAACCCAAGATTGATCTATTTAAATATAAGATAGGTTTATTTAAATATAAACTAGGTTATTTAAATATAGACCTAAAACAAAAAGAAAATTAAAAACCTCATATCCAGGGCAATGCCCGGGCCCTGAGAGCTAATATAACTTAGGTTTAAGAATTAGAAAAAAAATAGAACCTAAGACCCGGGGCAATGCCCAGGCCCTGAGAGTTAGTCTTCACCATGCTAATATTGCAATACATGTGGTGTCAATGATATTTCCATTGACAACAGGAAATCGGTGAGTCAGTCACTTTACAATCTGGGACATCATGTAATCTATGATCGGCTTAGTCAAATAGAAGTGTTTAGATTTGGCGAGTGGGAATTTTTGGTCATAGGTATATCTTCTTGACTTGTATATGAGACCAAATATCACACAATAACATCTTTACTTTCTATCCACTATAGGGTGACTGGCATGCCTTGACCTGGCATGCCAAAATTTTTAAAGCCTATTAGGCATGCTATTATTAGTAAAATTATATTTAAACTTATTTGAAATAATTTGATTGGCTAAATCAAAGTAATATTATATATATATAATATATAGTTAGGTTTCTAAATACACTTTAAAAATAAAAAGCAAATAAATGAATTTAGAAGGGATGCGCATTTAAATTATAATTTAAAACTAAGCAAAAATGAATCTAAAGAAGTTTTTATAAGTATATATTTAAGAAGAGTGCACTTAGAGAGTTATAACTATATCTTTTATTAAAATTTATATATTGTGGTATGCCATGGGTGGCACTGGGCATGAATTTTGACGAATGGTATGCCACATGGCATGCCAAATTTTTTACCCGTGCCAGTCATCCTAATCTACTAACAATTCAATTGTCCTCAGTACGTCGGGACACTGGACGCAATAACCACGGCTGAGACCTTCCACTAGGACTTCAAACCGGAACACAGAGCAACCACAACTATCCACGGTACGTTAGGAAAGTTGGAAAACCTCAGCACGTCGAGAATCAACCGGAAAACAATCTTATATGAAGTCACGTGAGCAAGACAATTAACGAGCGAAGACCTTTCACTATGCACTTAGTGATAGATCTAGGTATGGGTTATTTATTAAGACGGATGTAATGAGATACTTAAGGGTTATATGGGTTAAATGGGTAATTTTATTAAGGACGATAATTGTAAGCAGCACGAAACTTCTTTTCCTTAAATTCAATAAATGCAAAGAAATGAATTTATCAGATAAATGCGATAAATTGCACATGACCCCGTGTTCGTAGATCGTATGGAGCCGCAGTAGGTAGTTCGGATCGGATTTCGGGGCTCACACCATCATTATCAAAAAAATGTATATCAAATGAATAGACCATGCCTAAAAAAAAAATAAAATAAAATAAAGTAGTATCACGTATAAAAATAGTATTAAAAATTTAAAACAAAGTTTATTATTCGGACATGCTTTTTCATGAGCAACGATACATAAACCCTCAACATCAATTACACGGTTTATTTTTATTGCCTTTTCAAGAATTCTGCTAACAAGGGCTTCTTCCTCCGAAGGTCTTTGAGATTCGAAAAAGAATTAATCAAATTATTGCACACCAAAATTATATATATATTACTCTATTACCTTCCTGATTCAAGACCGGCGAAAGCCATCGGTGATAATTCAGTATTCAAATTAAGAATTCTTTCAGTTGGACGTTCAGAGTATGGACGGGTAATTTCACATTAGTACTCTAATTTATTAAATAAGAAAAAAAAGTCAAGTGGTGTAAAGATTTTAAAATAAAGAAGAAAGTTAAGAAGAAAGTTATTACTTAGTGGCACTTCTGAACGTCCATATCTTCAATGACCTAAAATCATCCATACCGCGACCATCGAGGCGAATACCTTCTTTTAATCCCGATAAAATTAAATCTTTTCATTCGTCGAAAGTTCAGTTTCTTTGACCATCGCGAAGCCTGATTTTATTTTTTTTACCTGATTTTATACGTAACCTGTATCTGGTATGACCCTCCGAGAATGTGAGTTATGTTGTTTGGAGAAGGTTTTATAGTTTTTATACGATATGTTTCTTATTCTATCTTAAAAACTGAAAATAAAATGAAAATAAAGATATGGGGTCTTTTCCTTGAAAATGACCTTACGGGACTATGTAGATTTTATTAATAAAAATTAAATTTCCTAACCATCTAATAAGCAAATTCAAATAAATTTTCTTTTATTTTGTAGAACTCACTAAGCTTTACAAAATAAAAAAAAGGTTATTTTAATTGGATTACTGGATAGCTAGAAATTTTAATTTTTATTCATAATCCCGTAAGATCATTTTCAAGGCAAAGACCCCATATATATAATTATATTTGCTTTGAACTTTTAAAAAATTTGGTATGTAACATTGAAAAAAAGGGTCATCTGAGTGCGATTTTCTTTTATTAATAAGGCTACCATACGTTAAGTAGACGTCTCGAATCCATTTAATTTATAAAATGGGTTTCGATGAGAAAATTTTAAAATCCTACGGTTTTCTGACAAATTAAAATTCTGTAATGAAGTAATATAGCATGTGGTTAACCAACAAATAAAAACAACCTTGTTTGTCATGATGAGCTTTGGCAATAAGGAAAAGAAAACAGAGTTATAAACTAACATTATGAACTAGGTAATTATGTTATATGAACAATCAAAGAAACAAATATCTATTTACATTAAAATTTTTATTTAGTACAAATTAGAAGATATACGAAATTAAAATAACATATTTGAAGAACTTCATTAAAAAAAAGAAAGGCATTTTACTATGCCTTAACGCGAAAAAAGAAACCAATGTAATAGCCTTTTATCAAAAAAGACAAAAATGTTGTTAGAGTGACACTTGCCTGATCGTATGTGATTCACATGTAATATCAAAGTTCCAGATTAAGTCCGTTAAATATTCACTTGCTGATTTTAACGATGCGATATTCATATAAACTAACACCTCAACACACATCACCTTTGTTAAATTGTTGTTTTAGCTTTTTCTGGTTTTTATTTGCTCAAATATAAAATTTGTATCTTAAAATTGATAAATTACTTACTTCAGTATATACTTTGCAAGATGACTCGTATAAAAGTTGTGGAGGATTCAACTGATTATTAAAATATGGCATGAAAGTTTCAATAGACTTGCCCACGTTTCATGGGAATAATTACGACTTTAATGAATTATGTAATGTATTTCTATTTTTAGGTACATTTCCACTCGTTTACTTAGATATTTTGAGAATTTTTTTAATCGATCGGTATCATATTCTAGTTTAGTTATATCACGTTGTTTGTTTATATCCTTTTCTGTCTGTACTGTGAAGACGGCCTAAAAGAAAAATTCTTTAATCGCTCAAAATAGTTGTACTATAATAACTAGAACTTTCATGAAAACACACTTAAATATATTTATTAAAGTTGTGATCTGCTCGAATCTAATCTAAGGTGGCTTTAATTTTTTGGTATTCTTCGAGTATTCTTGGTTACACATCATTGATTATTCTATTGACAACTGTACAAGCCTTCATAATAATCGTCATCATCTATCGTAGAGATGCGATCCGTTATCCTATCTAAATTTAACGGATATCCGGATACTGTTTACAATTTCGTAACGTTAAATAATTTTGTTGTAAATTAAAAACAATAAAAACTGACTGATATCCGGATTGCATATCTAGTCTATTTTAAATTTACAATCCGTTCTTAATCAGGTAATTGTTCGGAGCGTAGCCAAGGGACGATTTAGTGTAGACCAAATTCGGCTGAATTAAGGCTGTTAACCTCCAGCCAATTGTGAAACAAGAATCAGTGTGACGTAAGTTTATATACTGTACTGTACTATGATATCATTAAAATAGGATCTACGATGTTCGAGAGACTTAATTTTTTTTTTGTGCACTACGCCAAAATGCAATCCTCAAATGCAAGCTCTAACCTTTTTAAGAATAAACTCTATAAATAATATTTTTATCGTTGTAACAAAAAAATAAATCTAAATTATAATGGCCTGTTATATTTAATTACTGTATAAAGATTTTTAATATCACATGTTTTTGCCTATTTTAAAGTATAAATAATTATTAAATTTTCGATTCCCAAAAAGTTTATTGTTCGAAATAATTAGTATATAATAATTATATATACTGTATGTATATATATGTTAGTAATTTACGTATAAATGACATCTTCCTCTCGAATATATCAAACTCCAGATAGCGTTAGAAATGAAGAATCAGTTTTCACAGGAATGGAAAAAAAAGATCATAATAAAAGAATTATTACATTATTAATTCTTGCTCCATTATGGACCCTTGTATTTACCGTAATTCCGGTTGTCGTTAAAGTTAACGGCATTGGTGCTGATATTTATAGTATGTAATTTTCATTTTTTTTTATATGAACGCATTATTCAAAAATTGGCACTCAATTTTATTTGTTTATTACCTTTTTTATTCACTTCTCCATAATCATCTAACAGGATTTGTTGAACCAATAGTTTCATTACCACTAAACTATTTTATTTTGGCATCCTCCGAAATATTTGACCATAATAGTGATAGTAAACCTTTTGGTATTTCGATTTATTATTATTATTTTAATTATTATATTTTATTATTAAACATAAGCTAATTCACCTATTATTTTAAAGTTTGGGGCTTATCTGAACGTGGATTTTTAAACGTATGGTTTATGGTCGCAGCTGCATTTTACGCACAAGGTAAATGCTTTTAATATCTTATTTACCTAATATTATATACGTTTTATGTGTTCATATATGATATATATATTTGAATCTTATTATTAAGGTGCTGGAATGCATTCTACTGCAATCCTTGCAAAGCATTGGCTAAATGATTTAATCGCTGCAAAACCTGATATTGTAACATCATATCCCGAAGTGAACGATATGCTATATTATTTTCAAACGACACTTGAACATGTGGTATATAAGTATTTTATATATGTTTAAGAATCTCTTTTTTTAAAAAATAATAATAATAATAATATATGATTGAACTTTTTTTTCAAATAGATCGGTCATTATATGTACGCTTTCGGTTCAGCTCTAATATCTTGGTCACATTTGTTTGCTTATCGACGTCAAGTACACAAAGAAATCGAATCCAGAAGTAGATTAGCATTTTGGATTTTAAGTGGAATTACTTATTCTCTTATTTTAGGAGGCGTAGCGATTGAATTTCCAAAAGGTAATATTGTTGGATTAATTTATGTTTTTATAATAGGTATTCCATTAGGTATTTATTTATTTAAGACTGGAGATTTATTCACAAAAGGTAAAAGATTGGTACTCCAGTCTTATCTTATTGGTTATTTTATCGCTTTCTTTATAATTGTGATTTGGGTGATTGCAATTGGTGGATTTAAAGATAGAAAGAGTGCCGGAGTTCTAGCAAATTAGATAGGAAATCTGGGGATTATTTGTAAAACATGTTATTCCAATCTTGTATATTAATTGGTTTTAATTTGGTTTAATTTGGTTTAATTTGGTTTAATTAGTCTTAAATCAATAAAATTTTAGGTTTAGATTTAGGGGCTAGATTTTAAGTGGGATTTAAAATTTTTATATCAAATAGAGACCTCAAATTTTAGCTTTAGCTACCACAATAAACATTCGTATGAATATAGTATTATCTAATCAATGATCAGTACAGTGTCATATCATATCAATACATTAAATAAAATTCCGAGACTCATATACAAAAGTAAGCTGGCTATATATGCAAATCGAGCCACTGGCATAGAGATTGTACCCGGGTAGACATTCTTATTATATGGCTATAATAATACCCGGGTAGAGATTTTCTTGGCGGGTACAATCTCTACACTGCCACTAGATTTATTATATATATAAAATATAAAAAAAAATAAAGAAACTCTAGTCATTTATGAGGTAGACATTGTTGTACACATTGTCTCATCAAAATTGCTGGAACTCAGACAGTGTCCCATGTCCGTGATGATGTCCCAGGTCAGTATTATACATGGACATTGTTCGCCTCTTTCCAACACATATTCACCTGCCTCGGGTTTTAAATCTATAAATTATTACTCAAAGCAGTATTTCTTTCAAGTAATTGATTAAAAAGTTTTTTTTTACATTCACTAACCAAATTAATACAAATAAATATGAAGCATTGAATAACTATATACAATTTTAGCGATATAATTATTTTATCGTATAGACGAGTTGTTATTTCGTGAGTTCAACATAGCAAGTATCCTCAAAATTAAAGTGAAAGTCAAATGAAAGTTAAAATGAAGTTCAATTTTTATTATTGTTAAGCATTATAAACATTACTGGTAATCAGTTTCGAAGACATGAAAGTCAGAGCTACCATTCTTTCTGTGAAACGTTACGAAAAAATTTCCGGGATGTTAAAATTTTGATGGACCTGTCCAGGATGTTCCATTCCAGACTGTCCGTGAAAATACTGTTGTAGACCCTTTTCATGCATTTATAAAGATAAAGTTATTAAAAAATTGGGATTTTCTACAGCAAAGTAAATTATATACAACATGAATAGTTAGCTTATATGTCGTAATAATTATATTGTGTCTAACAAATTAAATATGGTATTCTTACTTGTATTTTATCGAAATATCTACTGAATTTAATCTAAAGAGCTTGTTTATCTCATCATAATCTTGAATAATTTTCATAATTTACCAAATTATCATCTTTCTGCTTGTCACAAAAAATATGGGAGTATTTAGCGAACATCGGTTTATATAGTTTTTTCTAAACTTATCACGAACATATGTCTATACTTTGGTTTTTGTTATCTGTAAACAAAACATAGGTATGAAAAAGATACTAACAAAAGCAGCACACCTTACTGGGAGATTTCTTATTTCAAATCTAACGACAGAGACTGTAATTTTAGTCGTTCATTCTATGATTATCTCCAAACAGGTGTGACATATTTCCTGACTGCAATCAGACGATGGTAATTAGTAAATCCTAAAGTTATTTTATATTTCTGGCCAGAGATGCCTAGAAAAGCCTATAAATTATATATATATATATATCAATTATTTCGAAACAAGTACATCCGTCACCTTGTTAGATTTTAAAATATTCTCTAAAGATCAAATATTAATTAGAAAAAACATAGACTATACTACAGTATGTAGCATATAGTAACAAGACTTAGGGTGTTCTCAAGCATCGACCTAGATGCGATTTCATAATAATCGAAATAGAGCACAAGTATTATGACGTAATTTTAGCTATTGTTCATAACATTTTGGATAAAAGTCAATAATACGAATGAAGATATTATTTGAGATATGCCCAAGCGTTACCGTTACTATTACTGTTATTTTCCAATAATTTTAATGATGCTCAATTGCAACGATAGATCAAAATAAAAGTATGAAAACGCTTGAACAATAATATTTATAAAGTTTTTGATAAGTCAGCGCAAAAAAAAAGGTGGTTCGGGCAAAAAGTTTTTTGATCATTTTTTCTATTTAAAATTTTTTTTCTTTCATGTAATAAACTACCTTACTTATCTTAATGACAAGCTCGATTGATCGATAAAAAATACTTTAATTAATTAAAATCTAATTTCCGATTGATGTATTACAATGAAAACAATTAAAAAATTTATACAATAATATTATTTCTTTCAATAAAGCAAATAAATTTTAAATATATATTGTTTGAGCCCTAGACAGTTTCGATCGATTCAAAGTAGAATTAAAAATTCTTCTGAATTTTTTACTGCGGGAATTTTTTCTTGTTCAAGCGTCCCATCTGTTAAATCTATGAATAGATCTCGTACTGCGAAAATCTATTATTGTTAACTGCTTTTAGATAAGGATCATATCTCCATTTAGAGATTATGGTCGCTCTCAAATGTCAATTTCAATGTGTATTCAAGCTTAATTATATTTACATAAATTTTTGGTATGCGCAATTTATGACGTAATTGGAACCTTCTTGAATGTGTGCCAGCAGTTGGCCTAAGCCGCAGCGATCAAAAATCAATCGATCTTGAGTATTGTACGTAAGTATAAATCGATAATACTAAATAATATAGTTTTTATTACCACAGTGTAATTAACATTCCATACTATTTTATAATATTGTTTTTATTTGATTTTTCCTTACTTTTTCTGCTCAACGTTAACGACATTTCAAAAATGGAATTAACGAAATTTGATTTTTTTTTTTTTTTTTAATACTGTAATATCGATATCTTTTTAATTAATTTGATGAATCTTATTTCTTACAATTTATCTGCTCTTTTATTTATTTATTTATTATTATTATTTGTTAGTTCAAGTCGCAAAAAGCAATCATTTTATGTTTCGTTACGGCCTAGTTCTATTTCACAAACCGTAATTTAATGTTAGTCGCGTGATTTTGCCTACGGCTTTATTCTAATCGACTTAAATCGTGTTTTTGTTACACAGATCTTGTAGTATAAAAAAAAAATTATTCTTTGTTAGACGTGCTCATAGTTGTTTTTTTCAGGCTATATCTAGATTTATACCAAAATGTTGACAGAATTAGCCGTCTTTTTTTCTTCTTTGATACTACACTTTTTAATATACATTACCCGCTTTTATGGTTGAAAACAGAAAGTTTATGATATTTTGAAGGTACTTAACCCATTCCAACTCCACTCCTTCGGGTGCCAGGAGTTCATACCAAATCCAACTTCACTCCTTCAGGTGTCAGGAGTTCATTCCAACTTCGAAATTACCCGAAAATACTTTAAAGTCTTTCCTCCAGTTTATGGTCGTTATTCCTCCGTCACGTCCTTCTACCGTTCTTTAGAAGGGCTAAAAGAAAATTTGAAGCCAGATTCAGAGACCAAAAAAAAGGTCAAAAAACTTCTTGACGCCAAAAAGGTTAGTTGAAATATATAGAAACATATTTTAGGCAGAACATAAACCAAATTTTTGGTCTTTACAGACATAAAAATTTTGCTTATGGTCATGTTGGTGTAAAAAAAAATTTTAATTAATTCATTAACTTTCACTTTATTGGACTCAACTAATCTATTTATCTGAGATATTCTAATACCTATTCTTTATTTTATTTTATTTTTGTTGCATAGGTCGGGTGGAAAGACGTATAACTGTACCGAAAATAGAAGAAGTCGTCACCTCTCCTTAGAGACCTATATACCAAATAATTAGAAAGAGGTTTTAAACCTCATAGAAATACATTTTAATACACATTCTGACAACAAAAAAATGCAAAATTGAAAATTGATGATGATGCGGCTTCATCAGCTAGCCTTCGGGAAAAGGAGCTACCACGTAAGATTAATTTAGTTTAAATGGGCTTGGTGCTGAGAAAAGGGATGAAATTGACATAAAAAATTCTTTGCAAAAAATTAATTATATCTCGAACTATCATACTTCTCATCGAATAGTACCAAAATTATGTGATTCTGATAAATAGTCCAATTGATAATTAATTTTTTGTGAAGAATTTTTTATGTTAATTTCATTCCTTTTAACAGCACTAAGTCTAAATTATGATAATGGTTTTTGTCGTATTTTATTTTTAAAAATCTCTACATTTTATAGACTCCATTATGAAATCTGAGGCTTACAAAAGTGTAAGACACAATGGGCGAACTCTTCCATTGTCCCATTGATTCATTTCAAAGAGTTTTGGGTTAAATTTTCACTTTTTTTCAAATATTTACCTGTTATAGAATATTTCGAACAAACCGATCCCAAATTATGGCATTTTAACAAATCTCCGAATCGGTCAAAAAGTATTTAGGCATGAAAATGAATGAGCTGTTAGACTTATTAAATATAAATTGTTAGGTATAATTACCCATTTATTATTATAGGCTTCATTCAAATTATTAGTTTATTACTCGTTTTATTATATAAAAACTACTTCTAAACTAGAGATGCGATCCGTTGTAATAAGTATTTTCGAATGAATTTTTTGAAAAACCAGAATCCTGTTTTTAATAAATCTTATATGTTTCTTTTTTTACATTTTAATGGATGACCTTTTAATTTGTCGACTAAATAAACAGTCTTCTTCGCAATAATTACATTTTTGGCTCAACCATGTTTATCAGGTTTAACCGGACTTATATTGACGAGGATTTTCCACGAACATGAAACATTGTTTTGAAGAATTTCTTAATCGATTTTCTTTTTGAATTTTGTATTCATAATACATTTAAATTACACAGTCGAATATATTATGTCATAATAAAGTTGTTTATAAATAATGTTTAGTTGCACGTAGCCGATAGGATAGTTAAAAGTGTAATACTGTACTAACCGAAATGAAGTAATAAAAATCATAACCTAGGAACATACAGCACATCTTGAGTGACAAATTTTTAAATTTAAATTGCTATATAATTACTAAAAACTAATATAAGTTTAAAAATAAAATATTAAATTAAATTATTTAAAAATTAAAAATCTAAATTTAAATAATTAAATAAAATTTTAAAATATATAGAATTATTATAAGTTTATTAAAAATAATAATATTGAATGCCTAATAACAGATTTTTTTAAAATCATGAATATATATATATATTTCAAATAAGTTGATGTTAGTTCTTTTTTCTTAAATTAAATTAAATTATTTTTATATTTTTTATTTTTTAATTAAATTATTATTATATTTTTTATTTTTTTATTTAAATTATCGTTATTTATTTATTTATTAATTAAATTAGTGTTATTTTTTTTTAAATTAAATTATTTTTTTCATTTATTATAAAATACATCTATGGTAGCTTTGTACCTATTATGTGTTTTTATATATTCTTTCTAAGTTTATAAGTTTTCTATATAAAATTTTTAGCACAAATTTTTCATGTTGGGTTAGTATTTAGTGATAGAATTAAGGTTTAGGAAAGGTTTTGGGAACGTAAAGCATTTTTACTTAGAGTATCGCATATTAATTAGCCAATTTTTAAAATAATAAAACATCATAGGTGTTTTATTTTAAAAAAAAATTATTTTATTTTTTAAAAATACAGCATTTAATTTTTTTTTAACGTTAAACTTTTTTCAACTTGTTTTTTTTTTAACATTAAATTATTTATTTTTTTATTTTTTATTAAAGTTATAACTTTAATTCTTTACAGTGGATCCTTTATGGGCAGGTCTTTATGATCGGGTGTCTTTATAGATGGTATCTTTGTCGCTCAATTCCCCGAAAGCTATTTACCCGCCAACTCATTTCTCCAACACTGCAATGCTGATATACTATTTTATCTACAGCACATTTTTTTGATAAGACATATTCGACGTTGCATATTTTTTTCAGATAAGACATTCCCGACAATCATTTCTTCGACATAAAATTGGCCTGATTTAACCTGATTTAGAGTTAGTGTTAGAATCATATGTCAGGAAATTATTGTTAGAAAAATGTCTTGTCTAAGAAAAGATTGTCAAAAAATAATGTCAAACGTATGTCTTATCAAAAAAGTGCTATAGATGAAATATCATGTTGGCATTACGGTGTCGGGGAAATTAGTTGGCAGGTGAATAACTTTCGGGGAATCATGCCATAACCTTATAGACGGGTGTCTTTGCGAGTGGGTGTGGATGTTTGTAGGTGGGTGGGTGTCTCTTTGTGAATAGATGGTATTTTGCTGGTGGTGGGTTACAGGTAGGGATATACTTCTTTAAATTCGATAGTTCTCTACATTGAGATCATTGTAATTTTTATCGTAAGTCACTAAAAAAATTCTGTTACAAAACTTACTCACCATTCCAGTAATATCAGTATATACTTAAGAAAGAATCAATCTACGATGAAATTATTATGATTTCTGTCGAAAGTCGCCATAAAAATTCCAATACTGAACTTATTCGCTACTGCAGGTATATGTGTAGTTAAAGGTTAAATTAGCTTGCATTGGAATTATCATGAGTCATTGTAAAAATTTTTATACAAACCTTACTTGTTATTCCAGTAATACGCAGCATGTGGTTAAGGTTGAGTTAGTTGCATTGGAATTATCGTGATTCCTGCCATGAGTTGCTATGTGGTTAAAGGTTTAGTTAGTCTACCTTGAGATTATTGTAATTCATATCGTGAGTTACTAAAAAAAATTCTGTCACAAAACTTACTCACCATTCCAGTAATACCAGTATATAGTTAAGTTTGAGTTAATCTACGATGGAATTATTATGATTTCTGTTGAAAGTCACTATAAATTCTAATTCGCATATATTAAAAAGGTTAAGTTAGTTTGAATTGGAAATTATGCAATTTCTGTCATGAGTCACTGTAAAAATTTTGATACTGATCTTACTTGCTATTCCGGAAATACACTGTATGTGGTTAAAGTAGAGTTTGTTTGCATTGGAATTATCATCATCTTACTACTCGGGTGACACAGATATGAGTTAGTTGCATTGGAGGTATTGTGGTTCCTACCATGAGTTGCTATAAAAAATTCTAGTACAAAGTTAGTCTACATTGAGATTATTGTAATTCATATCATAGTTACTAAAAAAAATTCTGTTATAAACCTTACTCACCATTCTAGCAATACCAATATGTAGTTTAGAATGAGTTAATCTATGATGGAATTATTATGATTTCTGTCGAAAGTAGCTGTAAAATCCTAATTCGCTACTGTAAAGTTTATATTAAAAGTTAAGTTAGTTTGAATTGGAATTATTACAATTTCTATCGTGAGTCACTGTAAAAATTTTGGTACTAATATTACTTGTTATTCCGGCAATACACTGCATGTGGTTAAAGTAGAGTTAGTTTGCATTGGAATATCATCTTACTACTCCAGTGACACAGATTTATCGTGGCTCCTACTGTATAAAAAATTATAGTACAAGTAGTCTACATTGGGATTATTGTAATTCTATTGTAGTTATTAAAAAAAATTCTGCTACAAAACTTACTCACCATTTCAGCAATACCAGTATATACTTAAGAAAGAATTAATCTACGATGAAATTATTATGATTTTTGTCGAAAGTTGCTGTAAAATTCCAACTCGCTACTGTAATATATATGTTGTAGGAATTAAGTGGATTTGGTGAAATGGTTTTTTTTTTATATAAAATTCCAAATCCACTTAAATTCCGTTTCCACCTACAGCAATATATTAAAGGTTAAGTTAGTTTGAATTGGAATTATTGCAATTTCTATCGTGAGACACTATAAAAATTTTGATACTGATCTTGTTATTCCAGTAATACACTTTATGTGGTTTAGTTGGCATTGAAATATCTCCGGTGACTCAGATGTATCGTGGTTCCTACTATATAAAAAATTCTAGTACAAAGTAGTCTACATTGAGATTATTGTGATTCTATCATAGTTACTAAAAAAAAAATTCTGTTACAAAACTTACCATTCCAGTAATATCAGTATGTAGTTAAGAATGAGTTAATATACGATGGAATTATCATGATTTCTGTCGAAAGTTGCTGTAAAATTCTAATTCGCTACTCTAATGTATATTAAAAAGATTAACTTAGTTTGAATTGGAATTATTGCAATTTCTATCGTGAATCACTATAAAAATTTTGCCAAACTTTACTTGCTATTCCGGCAATACACAGTTGTGGTTAAAGTAGAGTTAGTTTTGCATTAGAATTATCATCTACTCCGGTGATACATTTTGGTTGCATTGTGATTCTTAAACAAAGTATGTGATTAAAGCTTGAGTTAGTCTACATTGATTTCTATCGTTACAAAACCTACTATTCTTGCAATATCATATTAGATACGATTGGCTGTTAAACGCGTAATCTATTTTGTTACACGACTTTTCAGATAAAGGTACACGGCGTTACATCTGGAAAATGCAACAATTACGTTTTTGATATTTTTAATAAAAATGATCAAAAACATAATTTCGGTCATCAAAGGGCGTAGAAGTAAGAGTGAGTCTGTCGCTTTGCTCCAGACAATGATCATGTGAAATTGGTGATCATCACGCCTAGTAAAATTCTATTATTAAGTAAACCGACATTGTAAAAAAACTTTGTCAACGATGCTTCTCTTTGAAATATCCTACTTTAAAAAATAAAAAATCGCTAATTATGAAAGATTTAAAAAAGGCAAAATTGTAGAAATCAGTTAAAGAACCTATAGAACTTTTATCACTACCAGACAACATAGAACAATTTATTACCAAGTATTGAAAATAGAAATAAAAATATCAAAATATCAAAAAAACATGCACCTTTATTTGTTAGAATTACTTTTTGGTGAAATTTCAAGCTCCCTATTTTACTTACATAATTTATATAAAACTCCTATTATCAAAAATAATATTAAACTTGTTAAATGTGGCAAAGATTCACTTGAAGATGCAGTATTTGTTAGAATAAAAATCTAGTTAATTCAATGTAAGTTATATTCAGTTGTTGTATCAAGTGCTATTATTGCACTTGCATTTTTGAGAATCTTTATTAATGTTATTAACAAATACTTTCCATTGTATTGTTTCTAATAGATAAGGTCAGAAACTAAAAATAAAAGCCTACGTAATACTTGACCAAAAAGTGGTAAGTCAAAACCATTCTGTTATTTTATTTATTATTATTATTGATTTCGTGCATAAATCGTATATACTGTAAAAAGGTAACAACCCTGATTCACACAGAATTCTTTAAAAATTTTACTTTTTATTTGAAAAGGCAAAAACAACCAGCATTGGTGGAAATGAAGAAAGCAATGATCTATTTATTAGTGATGAAGGATCTATTAGTTCTGATTTCTCAAGACCTATTGGCCACGAATGTGATAGTGGTGATAGTAATAGACCACATACCCCTCCTCATCGAATTATCTATAATCAGGATTTTCTTAAATGATAAAAAACAAAAGACGAAATCTCCTTTGTAAATAAAATAAGTAAAAGTGTCTTAAAAGCATATTGTATGTTGAGGCAGTCTAGAACTTCCATATATCACTAATATATGTAAAGTCTACTTAGTATTCCGATTTTATTTTTCTTGAAGTCACTGGTTGACTAGGCCGCTCTTTAAGAGAGAGGGATGTGTAGCATAGTTAGGTATTACGGTTATGCGCAGGTGTATAGCATAGAATAGTGATTATAATTGTTAGTGATTTTATTTATAAAATTATAAAAATGCTGCTTTTCAAAGTATAATAAAATATCGAATCGAATGATCTAATTCTTGTCTTCGTCTAAAACATTTGACCCCGCGACCTAATCCACTCGGACATTCGTTTCACAACATTTGAGCCAAAATCGCATAGTAATTAACGTCCTTGATAGGCTAATTTTAAATAATCGATTTTTTTTAAAAAATATTTTGCATCGCAATTTTTTTTTTACGAAAAAAAGAATTGAGCTAGATTTTTTTATAAAAAAAAATGGTAAATGCGACAGAATGTCTTGCCGTGATCGCGTAGCTATCGACATAAACATAGAACCTTGGCTTGGAGGCTAAACGCTAAAGTAGTACAAAGCGCTTAATCAATGGCATAATAACGATAATTATTGGCATTAAATTTTGCACGTCTCAAATCTGTGACAGGTTATGTCGATCACCGAATCGAAAGAAGTCAAACTACGGTTATCATTGAGTTATTTACGATTTTTCTGTTTTCTCATAAAAATCGTAAATAACTCAGGATTTTACTATGATAACCGTAGTTTAACTTCTAAACAAAAGTTTTCAGCACGAAATTTTAGGTATATGAGCATATCTAAATATCAAATATAAAGTAAATTTTAAATCTGCACTTAATGCTCTTTCGGTGATCGCTTAAATTTTTTATAAATTAGGAGCCAGGCCTAATTTTGCAGATGTAATTCGCGGTTTCGTGATCACAGACCTCTTCTGCCAATAATTCAAATTACGCATTACATTTAGAATACTAAAAGTTAAATTATTACGTATATTTAAAAAGTTATCTATTATTAGTATTTTACTGTAATGAATTTTAGATCGGAAGAGGTCGGTGATCACGAGACTGCGACATTTTTATGGCACCAACTATTCTTGGGACATCTGAAAATTTTTTTGACGACCAGATCGATAAGTTACCGAGTTGGAATCAATAAGTTGCTGACGTCGACCGGCATCAAAAATTTATCTATTCGGTCATCAACAATTTTTTAAATGTCCCAAAAAAATGAAAACAGCTGTAAAGTAAAACCCGGCCCGGCCCAACCTTCTACATCGCATATAAGTGTTGTAACCAACCTACGTCCTTTAAATAACTTTTACTATCCACGGTTATGTTTAAGCATCTTACATCTCTGTGGCTCATTTTTCGTAATACTCACAAACTTCATGCGCCATTAAGCCTTTTCAATTTTCGGAAATGTCACCTTTAGCCCGTGACAGCAGTTCCGTGCCCGTACCCATGTGACTCCACATGCTTTTTTTTCGTTATTCATATCCTCTGTAAATTAAAAAATTTAGCGAAGATATCTCGACAACCACTATGTTCAAATTCGATGAACTTGAATTTTATGAACTGTAGGATTCAAATAAAAAAAAAAAGCTTATTTAAATTTAGGCCGGACCAATTTAATTCGGTGGTTTACATTACCGCCCCCTTTCTCTTTTAGTAAAAAAAATTTTGGGATATATATATGATTTTGACCGGAGAGCATAATGCCGGGATTAGGATCCGAAAAATGAACGACATAAAAGACAAGCAAGGTCAGGCCGATAATTTCCGATTAAAAAAAAATTTGTCGTTCTATTCCCCCCTTTGAGAAATGAATGTAATGTAAACCACCGAATTAAATTGGTCCGGCCTTAATATGGTGTTATCGAGATATCTTTGTTCAAAGTTTTAAAAAAACTCAAAACGTCCATCAAAATAAAAGCTGCGCCAAAATCTTTCAACTTTGAGCAAAAATATCTCGACGTTCATCAAGTCAAATTCAGTGAACTTTTTTAACTGAATTCTGCGAAACTGTAAAACTCAAATAAAAAAAAAAGTTCATCGAATTTGACTTGGTGGTTATCAAGATATCTTTGCTCAATTTTAAAAAGCCGATCAAAATAAATCAAATTCGATGCTTTTTTTTATTTGAATGCTAAGAATTTGTTGAATTCAATAAAAAAAGCTTATCGAGTTTGACTTAGTAGTGTTTATCGAGATAATTTCGCTCAAAGAGTTTAAAAAACTTAACGTCTATAAAAACAAAGTTGCTCTCAAACTTTGAGCGAAGATATCTGACAACTACTAAGTCAAATTCGATTAATTTTTTTATTTGAATTTTACAGATTCATAGCATTCAAATAAAAAAAGTTCATCAAAATTTGACTTGGTGGTTATTGAGATATCTTCGTTCAACGTTGAGAAAATTTGGCGCAGCTTTTTTGATGTTTTTGAGAGTTTGGATCCGGATGTATCCGGATATAAAGAGGATATCACACGTTTATTAGCATCAGCTAATCAAAGAATTTCAAAACTGTACGTGCGTACGTCTTTATATACGTAGTATTATAAAAATCAATTGCCGAAGATTCTTTTTACATGTATAATTATAATTATATGTTTAGAAATTTGAAATTTAAAATATATGCTTAGGAAATTTGATACAGTATATACTAAATTTAAAAATTTCAAGTCATTCTTTATTCAGTATTGAAAGACTGCGTAGCAATTAATAACCTACATACTTACACTAAAGTTTTATCATAATAACGAATTTAAATTTTATTTATCAAATTATCCCAAAAATTTTTGGATCTTCACCATCCTATTAGACTATAATATATGCATCCTCAGTTAAATATCAGTTAGCAAATTTTGGAATATTTCATAAATTCATTTTATTTAAATTAAAAAAAAGTTTATCAAATTTGAATTGGACAGTGATATAAATTAGATCAGCGCAGTAGGCGCTACGTACATAGATTTAAATTCGCGCGTATATCAGCGCTCTCGGTATATATAAAGCGCATATTAATATATATTAAATTTTTTTTGAGCATATTTTTTTTTCGTTTGTGTTAATAAAATTTTTTGAATTATAACACTGGTTGTCAAGATATCTTCGTTTAAATTCAAAAAAAAACTTAATTTACAGGGAGGTATATTGTTAGACGTCACTTTCAAACGTACGTCGGTTTAAAATTGTAAAATAAAGTACGTCGTATTCTAATCGGTATGATTTTACCGATCGATAGTAAATTGTCGCGAAAAATAATTTTATTTAATTATTTCTACTATATGAATATTATATATCGATATTTGTATTTACCTTAACCTTTACTATGTTAATAAAATCTACTAACACTTTGCTAGTACAAGAAGTCTTCAAATATAAAGGATATTTAGTACAAGAATGATTTTTGCACACCTCGATGAACACAGCCACATTGAAGGTACAAAAAGTATTGTTTTTACGACAAGAACAGCTCTTTTACAATTATTTTCAATTACATGGCAACCATTACTTCTTGTATCTTAGTTAGTGATGCAGTAGAAGCTTTATTTCACTGGGACGATTCTATTGCATCACTAATCTTGACCAATTCTTGATCAGACGTTCGTTCGTGAGATTTGGAAGAGGTCTTATTGGTCGCGTTATGTTTTGTCGGGAACTAGCGTTCGTAAAAAGATGTCAAGATCGGGAAAGTCAGAATTATTATTATAAAGCAATAACGATTTATATATATATATATATATACTTTTATCTTGACGTCATGACTAGTGCTCCGCAAAATTTGAATTTGAATCGAATATTTTAAATATTTGATTCAAATTCAAATTTTGATATGATTTTGTGGAGTACTAGTTACGCCATCTGATTGAACGTTCATTTCTACGATAGTGCAACTAAAGGTAATAGAAACCTAATATTAAAGCTTGGGCTTTCAAGTTCATCAATGGGTTTTGTAAAACAACTAGACAGCGATCATATTTTGAAGGTCTATTTTATGTCTTTCATTTTTTCGATTATTTATATAATTGCAGCAATTATCAAAGGGTTGAAATGAAAGAAACGAAAAAATTAATGAAGTATTCGAAGCCATATTATAAAGAAAAAAAAACACTCTATTTTATTAAAATAAAATACATATTTAAGATTTCCAGATTTCCGGATTTCCAGTGATGTGTGATGTACTGTACGTATGTACGTACGTACGTACGTACGACAGATAGATGGCGTCATCCACATGTCAAATATATTTATAATAATTAGATTAACATAGCGGGCTTTCATAGTGATTGGTCAAATTTTGTAGATCATCCCGTGATAATACGTATGTAAAAAATGTAAAAAATAATTATATTCATGATTTAGTTAATACTAGCAGAAGTCTTTACCATAAAATTACATTAATTTAAATCTAGAATTAAAATCCTAATACAAACAAAACTAGTCAAATATCGGATAAAACTCTAATACCAAAATTTTATTAAAAAACCCTAACGTACTATAAATCAAAGAAAAAAACAACAAAAATAAAAAATACAAAAAGTAAACGGTTGACCCTATTCTATAATATTGATAACTAATAAAAAAATAACCAAAAATAACTTTTAATACAGTACTTACTCTAATATCAAACTAATTAATTCTATTAATATGCTAAAAGGTTACAGTACTACTACAGTACTTTTTTTAACTCTTCTCATGAAATCTATTAGCCTTATGGCTCTTAACTTCATATTATTAGCCTATATAATACGTAGTCAGGTTTTTTTATTAGTTGAGATTACAAAATATAAGCTTTTACAAATAAAAGACAGTTGAGTTTGATTGAATTATTATACCTATAGGCTAAACTTAAACGTTCAAACATACCTCTCATCTAACTTCCGAATTACTTCGTGGATTACCAAATTACTTTGACAGTTATAGATCTGAAGG